AGCGCTGTTATTGAAAAACGATAAACCGAAAAGCAAAACTTCAATAAAAGAAATAACCGTTGATGATAAAAAACTAAGTCCTTTACCGGGATTATTGGTTGAAACAATTACAGATAATCAAAATGTCCATTTATTATATTATTGTCATTTTGATTATCTGTAATTTAATTCATTCTATGTCTGAATATGATTAAGAAATTGAAAAAGATAAACCAAGAAGATATTAGTACTAATGATACTAATACAACACATAATCTTAATGATGAATATACTGAAGGATTTAATTAATGTGAATATGAAACTAATTGCTATCTGTATGAAATAGATAAATACAATATTGCTTTCAGAGGAACTAAAGCACAAGTAATAAGAAAAAAGGGGGAGAATGCCAAACCTAGTTAGATAAACAGGTTCGGAGTCCGATAAATCCAATGCAACGATAGGTGAAAATCCAATTATAGGTCAACAGTAACAAATCCAAATTGCAAATTCCTTTCACAGAGGTGTAGGAATCGAAGACGAGGAAAAATAAAAGAAGATCAATAAAGATTACTTCAATATATTGAGGAGTGAAGCAACAGTTAGATATATAAGCCATTCGTAACAAAACGCATGGAAACTAGTTTAACGAGGGAAATCACCGGTCGACCGACATCCTGATCACAGGTCAGGATGTCGGTTCTATATCGAGATTGTCTTTTCGAATTTCAAAAACAAAAATTTTGAAAATAATGATTAAACACCCTCCTCGCAGTACCTAAACATATTGAATATAGAGAGATATTGTGGCTATTAATCGGAAGTCTATAATATCGCTAGTAAACATTTTTGATGATATGCTCGGAATGATTCTAATAAAGTAAGATAAAGATAGCAAATAAGAGTGTCATCATTGAAAGGAGTTGAATGTGATAAAGAAAAAAATGGAATTATCCGGTCTAATATTACAAATAAATGTATTAGATACTTGATAGGTTTGAAGAAGAAATTCTTAATACTCCTGAAGCAGGAAACGTTAAAAGGATAGTCAGTACTATAGTAATATTATCACAACGTAAGAAGACTGCTTCCATTGGATTAAATAAACAGGTATTCTTAATGTAAAATACTTAAAAAATCCAATTTACACTCTGAAATGGGATCCCATTCCAGAGTGCCAGGGACAATAGGATTTTTTAAGCATTTTTCATTAAGCATATGTTCCAGTATAGCATTGTGAATACAAAATTCACCAAATATAATAAACAGAGGTAACTAATGACTTCTGTTTATTTAAATTAAGGGTGTACTTCATAACGGTACAGCACAACTGAATGCTACCCACGAATTTTTATATACCTCAAACTACTACAGTTTTTACTAAAATTGCAATTTACATATAAAACTTATTTTTTACATATAGATTTGTGTAAATGTCACAGTATTACAGAAAGTCGAGCAGCTAATATATTTTACAAACTTCTTGGGAATAGTAATTATATAGTATTTCTTTAATTCAACATCTCCTAAGTTCCTTCCAGCTTTGCTATTCTGTTACAGCGTTAGAAGTACAATCAAAAAGTAGGTTTTATTTTATTGTACCTACCTCTAATATTGAACATCGCTATGTTCGTATTTGTAATATCATAGTGAAATTGTAAAAATATTTTAATTAAACATATTGACAACTCAGGTCTCTTTACGCTCTATCAAAACCAATTTTACATTGTTCAACGATCTTTACCTTAAAATTAAGATTTTTGTTACTTAACTGTTCTTGATACGATTTGGACAAACATTTTCTTCTTGTCTCCTTTAGTTCTTCAAATTTGTCTGATGACTCGGCGAGACAGCGTGTGCTAGTTGGTTTCCAGATTTTTCTTGATAACTCATCCGATTCAGCCCTTAAAAATTATGTCGTAATAGTGACCGCTGGAACATTTGGAACGAACGACCCATGGATCAATCGAGCTATTTAAGTGTACTGGGCTAGTACAATATTCGCTGCTTTTCCGATCATAATACCATTGGGTATATAATTTTTCTCTGTCCATATTATTTTGTAAATCTACGCAATCACTTTGCTGACGTTTAGATCGGGCTCTGGAATGTCCCAAGAAAGTGTTATGTCCTCCACCACAAATCGTACAGCATACAGTTTTAGTTTATTTCTTTGAAATCACAGTTTCACCTCTAATTAGGCAATTTATTTGCACTTTTCCAACTGCGTGTTGCACTTTTTCACTACCAAAGAGGTATAACTCTGCACTGTATTTGAATTATAAACAAAAAATTATTAATTTTATTATTTGCAGCGTCAGATGCAAGTGAGCGTTAACAAGTGGGTGTCTGTCGCAACTAATTCTTTTTATATACTTTAGTGCATAATTAGTTTGGCTATTTAACTAGTAATTTATGAATCATAAAATACCTCGTTAGATTTAACGATGATAAGGTAACAATACTCGCTTAAATTTCTAAATGAGACATCATTATAATAATTGAAGGTATTATGAAGCTATTAGATTATGAAATTAAAAACCTGTTATATTTAAAACTTAATATATTTAAAACTAATGTATATACAAATAAAACAAAATAATACTTATCCATAAACATACTTTTGAAAATTAATTTAAAAACAACCAAATTCAGGAATATCATGTTTCTGTACACTCAGCAGTAAAGTCAAATTACTACAAAATTCAAATTATCGCAGCATATTTGGAACTAAAATCCAATTAGGATTTAATAATATCGTCAACAAAAATTCGGGTAGGGTCTCTCGCCTGTCTCAATTGCTTAGATTATGGCTTAAGTTTATGACGTCATTGCAATAAATTATGATAGCTTGTAGTAACACAGAAGCCCACTTTGAACTGGTTTTGTACAGAGAAATAACCACCAAATAAGTTGTATTTAATAATGAGCAAAACAACATCTCATATTTGCAAGGGTCTTGTCACATCCGAAACGTCAATTTATATAATAATCTCGTTAGAAAAAATCGGCAATTTTCCCCTGAAATTTATCATATTTGCATTTGTTGTTGTGATTATACTATTTTTACAGAAAAAATAATAAATATATAAGAGTAATTTTGTAGCCAAGGGCTTTATGCGGCACTTTTGCAATAACCGTAATAGTTTGCTAATTTAAATCATAAATATTTTCGAAATCTTAAGCCTACGCTTCACTCTGAAGAGGTGATTAAAGTTAACCGGAAAAATGGTACTATATTTTATCAATAAAATGCATTGTGCCATTATTACTAACAACGAATGAATCATTAATTTTGCCTTTGATTATAATTAGTCAAATATCCATTTAATTGAACATTCCTGAGTGCGGTACTTAGAAAATACTAACGCTAATTTATTAATATAACGTTGCCGGAACTAAGAAGTTTTAACGTTATTTCCGTTCTCGCAAAGTCAAAAATCAAAGAAATATATTTATATAATATGGATAAAAAAAAAACATTCAATTGAATAATAAATAGTTTAGATATAAGTCATTAAAGTTGAGAAGTGGGTGCTCCCTACGTCACAACTGTGTAGAAAATGTGAAGAGATGTGACATCATGCAACATTTCAACTCAATGTGTATCAATGTGTATAACTTATTGTTTACGCAAAAAATTAAAAACGATTTATATTAAACGGTTATTTAATATTCTTCAATAATGTACCTGACAGATAAAAAAAAAACACTAATTATTATCTCTACTATACTTATGTATGATATAATAAGTTTACTTCTGGTATCTTAGCCATTGTCACAAATTGAAAACGGAGTTTGACAAGACTAGATCTAAATTTAGTTTGTGCAACAAAATTGATATGTACGTCGATTTTTATTGTAATCTATTAAAAAATTGACTTTATTTGCATTTGTCTATAGTGTTACATTTAGGTTTTGTCTAAATATCGACAATAGTTAGATGACGCTAGTGGGTGCGGCTCTAACTGTTTTAGACAACTAACAACCATTATTTTATAATGGCTTTTGAGATAGGCGATTTGGCCCCGAATGAGTGTACAGATGAATAATTAATAAATTTTATTATTTATATGCTTTAAATTACAATGGATAAATTTGCTGATATAAGAAATCATCCATAAATTTATTTTTATTAAGGGGCAGGTATAATTAATATTTCTATAAAACTGTATAAAGATACTAATTGTCTTCGTATAAAACCTATCAAACTACAAAATATATCGGTTGGTATAAATCGTTACTTCTTGAATTACTATACTCTATTCTTTATAAGAAACTTTTAGATCTAAGCAGTATCGGCAATTAACATTGCAATAGGCATATCCATACTTAGCCTACCTACGAGCCATGCTTCTATATACAAGAAAAATTATCAGTACGCAACTTTTCCCATGGTCTAATATAAGATAAAATATATACGAAGATTTAAATACTAAAATCGATAATTTCATTTTTATATATCAACAATAGTAGCGTGTTTATAATCTTTTATTTTTGATTTCCTATGTTAACAGGTTGATATATCGGCTAAGTGTGTGTGGGACTCACACGCGTACGCTACCATACTATAAAATATAAAAACCCCAGGTTTGTTGTATGGGAGCCCCCTTCAATATTTATTTTTATTCTGTATTCTATATATTTTTGTTATAACGCCAATAGACATTTGTGAAAATTTCAACTGTCTAAGTATCACAGTTTTTAAATATAGCTTGGTGATGGACAGCAAAGTCTGAGTAACAGGGTCTCGTTTTTACCATTTAGATACGGATCATTAGAGAGATAAAATAAATCAATATGCTTCATCGTAAAACAAACAAAATTAAATTTTGCGTACTGAGTACCAACAGAAGTAAGTAGACGAAAAATGTAAAATAGATCTTGACGTTATAGTTATAAAGTTATGGATCCTCTACTATCGACAGCACTATCAGATATTCTGTACCAGTTTAAAACACAATCTAAGTGTTACATTATTTACATATAGTTTAAAAGTTCATTTTTGTGTTATCATTTCACTATGAATCATCTTGACTGGTAGCCACTTGTGCGAGGAACACTTGTTGCTGAGGCTGATGTTGTCCTTGTGAAGATACCTGCAAATAACATCCGTTAATACCAGGTATAAAACAGCGCCATAATGCTGTTCCGGTTTTAATATTTCTTTACCGACAAGTAAAATTCAGGTAAACTTCGCCTCAATGGAAATATTACACGAAGATCGGCGTAGATGGCAACACTTCCACATGTAGTAAACAAACATTCTAACATTCTGTCTTTTGGAAATAAATGATCCTCTTTCTTTACTTTACACCCTTTCTAATTTACTAATACAAAAATTATTAAATTCACCATAAGAGTAGCTCGGTGGTGCAGTGGATCACGATTGTTGTTGTTAAGCAACTTTCGCAAGGGTCGGTCTCGGGATGGGTGTCCAATATATTATTATTTCGAGCTATACCGTGCTTCGGAAAGTACGTTAAACCGTTGGTCTGGTCTGCATTTGCAGTGGTTAATTACCCTCCAATCCGCATTGGGCTAGTATGGAGTGTCATGGCCCATCGTCTTTAACCATCCCTAAAGAATGCCCTGAGTGGGGACGTAAAAGGTCTGATGAAGATGCTTACTATTACTTTACTCTTTGCTCACCACTCTGTGAATTACGTTTGACGTTCATAAAAAATACTGTTTACTCCATGTACTAGGCTGTCGACAGAAAGTTTCAGTAATACGTTTCTATCAAGTATCTCGAATCTCGTGTCTCTCTCACTACGGGATGTTGGCAGAATTTCTGTGTATAACGGAACAAAGCCAAGAAAAAAAAAGTATCTACTATAATGTATTCATACCTGTATGATCTGCGGAGATTGTTGCGTTTGAGCTTGTATTATTATTGGCTGCGTGGGATTGTTCTGAACTTGCAAACGTATCATGTTCAACTGAGCTTGTGTCAGTTGTATCTGAAATTAATAGATATATCGTTTAAATGAAAATATTAGAGACAATTGTTTCAGGTCTGGGTATCGGAATTTGTTGGATTGTAGCGAGGTTCTGAAATTTAGCTATTATAAAAGTTCAACCGAGAGATGTAGGAATGTTGAGCAGTCCACAGGAAAGAGGTAGTTAACCCGTTCGCGTTTCCGCATTAAATTCACGGAATACTTTGCTCTGGTACGTACAACCCACGCGCCGTATTAATTCGTTGAATTGTTTAATGTTTACATTCATGACACTCTCACAAAATATCAAACTCACTATAAACATTAAATATGTAATTTAATAAACAGACATTTACATGCAAATTGAATATACGTTTCTTTTAGGTTGCTACCAAAAAAATGTAGCCATGCTTTTCTATTAGAAAACAGTTCGAACTCGACGTACACTTTATGAAATAAAACCTCTATTATATTTCGAAGTAGATTTTATTTGATTAATCATTGAACCTGTACGCTATGACAGTGCTGCTAGGTCGAGGATGTGGATGTATATTTGTGACTGTGACGGGTTCGGTGCTTGTGCCAATTAATGAAAGGCTGACTAGCTTGAGAATGGATTTATTTATGGTATAAAGGATAAAGTAAAGAAACTATAACAAACAAAAAAATAATATAAAAACAGTTCGTATGTTAAACAAAATATAAAATTACCAAATAAAACGAATACATACCCCTTTTTAGGTTTCATGATAAAAATTTGGACGCTATTACAGGATATCATTTTTTATATGTTATTTGTAATTTTTATTTTAGACGCATATCTCTAAGATTATCCTATTTATATTATAAATGTAAAAGTTTCTTTGTTTGGATGTATGCCCGTGAATCACGCCGAAACTATTGAACGAATTTTGATGAAATTTGGTATACACATAGGGTATTAGCTGACTTAGATAATAGGATACTTTTTATTTCACTAAACATTTCCCTAGGGTCCACGCGGGCGAAGCCGATGGCGAAAGTTAGTAATATTTATATTTTCAAATTTATACGATTTGCATATTCACAACAGAACTTTTTTTACGAACTGACCATAAAGAGTATATTTGATTATTCAAATTTCAAATTCCGAAAGATGAATAATAAAAAGAAACGATGTCGAATATCAAAGACAAAAAGTTAGCACGCTGAAACCTAGGAAAATAAACGGTGGTACGGCACACAGTTACAAGACTATCACTGTGTTTGTGACACGATTTAGACTAGAGATGGATCGGCACCGTAACGGGATATAGTTACCGGCAGTTGCTGCAGTTCCCCGGCGGGAGTTACCACTTGCTGCACTAACGCTACCGGCTGCGGCACCACGCCGCCGGCCCCGCTGCTGCTGCTGCTGGCGTTACTGCTGCTAGCACCAGCCTATACGGTACATACAACACCATTCTTAAATCCTCGCACACTCTAAATTAAATATTACATAATGTGTAACTTAAGCCAGGGGTCGGAAACCTTATGAAACGAAAGATGTGAAAGCTTCAATTTACAAAACTTCAGTTTGCTTTGAACACTGGTAGATTTCGGTTCGTTATAATTTTATTTTAATATCTATTCGATTTTTTTTAATAATGATTTTTAATATGAAATTATTTTTTTTATAAATGGAACTAGAGAGCTGCAATTTTACAGCTAAAGAGCCGCAGGTGAACGACTCCTGACCGAAACTAGATAAGGTGCAATATTATTTATATGCTTTATTACTTCGTGCGGTTTCATATTGTCAACGATTATTATTACAATTTTGCATGAAACACTGATTATTTTTTCGTGAATTCAATGGTGCTCTCATAGTAAAAGTTGTTCAGTATACTAAACTAATGCACTTCACGAGGTCCTGGCATATAAATAATATTACACCTTATGTATTATCGGTCAGGGGTCGGCCACCGGCTGCGACTCTTTCGCTGTAAAATTGCAGCTCTCTAGTTCCATTTACAAAAAATATTTCTATATTGAAAATCATCTAATCAAAAAAAAACTCTAATTGATATTAAAATAATATCATATTATTAATATAAACTGAAGTTTTGTAAATTGTAGGTCTTTCGTTTCATAAGGTTTCCGACCCCTGGCTTAGCCTGTGTATCCCAAACTCTCGACCCACTAGTGACACTAACAACTAGTTGTATATGAGAGAATATTATGTAAGCTTATAAAAGATGAGTTCTACGGCTGGCCACTATACCTAGTGACTCCCACCTGAGCATTTGCAATATGCCCTCTTTTCTCTAAGACTCAATATTGATTAGATAGATGGCGCCTTATTCAATTAAACGTTAAATCTGATACTTTAATTACCAGTGAATGTCGAACAAATCTATATAAACATACATTATAAAGAAGAAGTGTATGTTACTGTATTAGAGTTGCCTATCGATAGCTGACATCATATCAATTGTATCGATACTATTTTTAAGATACACTATCGATAGTTTTGTATTAATATATCATAGTACAATCGATAATAATACATCGATTGTACTATGATGTAATAATACCGATACTATCGTTTTCAATCTATATTACTTTTTATGTTAATTAATTTTGCATTCACAATGCTATGCTGTAAAGGTATTCTAAATGAAAAATGCTTTTAAATCCATTTTGTTCCTGGCACCCTGAGATGGGACTCGAACCCATGACCTTCCGCAATTCGAGCAACTGCTCTATGCTGAGGATTACAATACTTTTAATACATAATAATGATTATAATATTTCAATGTTTTAGTGTTATGTAGAGAGCCGATTAAAAATTTTATCAAAAATAATTTTCTTAACAAAAAATGCCAAAAAAATCCACTGTCTCTGGCACTCTTGAGATGGGACTCGAACCCATGACCTTTCGCAATCCGGGCGACTGCTCTAACCACTGATCTTTTAAACATTTCTCATTAAGAAATATAATTATTTGTTAATCTGCAGTATAATAATAATAAATCGAAAGATTGCTATAATATTCGCTAAGAAATCGAGTCGTATGAGAGCTAGAGGGTCGTGCCACTGTCAACTATCGATAATAAGCCAACACTATGCTGTAGATGTCGGATGTAAGAGTTAACAGGGGCATGCTGTTTATTAGGACATATAGAAATAATGATGAACTAATATACGACATGTCAAAACCTATAAAAAATCTGCGAGCATGTATTAAAACCGTAATAAACTTCAAGGAAGCGAAAGACGTATGTAACGTAAAGGTACGGTACCTTGTGGCGCTCAGTTTTCTCTGTCTACCCACAATGGAGCCGGCGGGAAAGTATACATGTATATTATTATTAAAATTTTCTATAAATATTAAGAGCTATAAAATGCCTTTTTAAAAACTATCGATTTATTATAGGATTAAATCATTATACTTCGATATCATATTGGATTTTATAAGAGAAAATATGATTTGGGTAGAATTTTTCTGTAGTGATTTCGACATATGATATATTGATACTGAAGTTCTATCGATAGTAATATTAAAAAGATATATGATTTGATTGTTTGTTTGCATGAATAGGCTCCAAAACTACTGGACACATTATAAAATTTCTATCACTTACAGAAAGCTGTATTACACGTGGGTGACACAGAATATAATTTTAGTCGCGGAAAAACAGCTAGAGTTATATACTATGGTAATGTTATGTAATCATATTTTTATAAGTGTGAAACAGACAAAATTTAATAATTTTAACGAACAAATTCAATTTAAATTTACCTGTACCACTTGAGCGCAAGGTTGAAGTACAATTTGTTGGGGCCCTGAAGTCTGTATGCTGGAGTGATTTTGCTGCGTTATCTACAATAAAACATCCATTCTAGTAAACGGGGAGAAAATAGCAATAAAATCAGTTGATAAATGATTGAAGTGTCTTACAGAGTAGCATGGCGGAGTTATAAAAATAAGTATATTCTATTATTGGAAAATTAACTTGCGATTTATAATCTGTGAATTAAAAGAATCGAAAAGCGTCGCGTGAATTCACATTTCGATAAGTATATGTCAGCGATTTTGTTGCTGTTTATGTAATATTCACATCTCAATAGAATCACAACTACTTGCATTTTGAAATTGTATTTTCTACTTGCAGGCCAATATTATTATATATCTGTCACCATTGATGTGTGAGGAAGATATAGCACTAATAATACTGGACTTCTATTGAGATGCGATTTATTGCAAACATTAGCAGAATTGGTCTACAGTATTCATGTTTATTGAAATGTGATGTCACAACACGAAATGTCATCTGGTTGCTTTTGTGGGATAATTCAAATTAATTATTAAAATAGTTGTTTATGCAACTGGCATTTAAGAAGGGTATAAAAACACGAGAATCTGTTAAATTAATTTATGCGTGCGTTATTTTTTTCACAGTTTCACACCATAGACTAGTTTAATGAATAAAAAAAGATAATGGTACTATGATGAGTTTTATGATACAGTTGGCAGTACTATAATGAGTTTTATTTTTAGTTTTATGTATATGCGTTTATAAAGTGCGTATGTATACAATCGTCTTTGAATTCGTAATTCGAATTTTTCGATTTGAGTGTAGATAAATATATTTTTCCTTCATTTAATAATACTTTTTGGATAAAAATGAATCTGATAGTGGTTTAACATTGTATGATCATATGAAAGTTTTAAAGTACTTTTTCAAAACATTCGAGTAGCAACTTAGGCTCTATTACTTAACATTTTTTCTTTAATTACCTGTTCAGTGATTGTGGCCATAGTGTGGTGGTTCTCTTCTCGTGGTTTGGACACTTTGACCTCATGCCGGGGCACTATGTCGATCAGAAAGTCGAATTGATCAGACTTAGATATCGCCATAGCTATATCATTCCGCTGAAACAATATTAATAATTATATTAACAATAGGTATATTATGTTTGGTCTATTAAAAAGTTTCGCGATGTTTTTACACAGTTAAAAGACCACTTTGGACCAGCAATATCCTGCCTTGTTTCATAAAAAAAAACTACTCTGTTATGAAGTGGGTATTATTTTTTTTAAATATATGGGCGTTTTTTACACATTTTTATACAATTTTATTAATGTTTCTTTTACATATTTGAACTGACATGAATATGAGATTAAGTAAGGAGGAATAAACATAGCTACTTTCATCACACATGTGTTCCTTCGTACACACTTGCATATTATGTTAGATATTTTGTGACAGCATTTACACTGAAAACCACGAGTTAATGTTAATAAGTATCTATTCGCCTTAGGGCTTTCCGCCAGTCGCTTCTCCCACTAGGTCCTGTATTATACATATAAATCTTCTCAAATCACTTTGTATATTCATGAAATTGCATTTGAATTCATTGTTTACTTTAGGGGATGCAATTTTGTATTACTATGTAAAGATTACCTGAAGTGTTCTCCTCTTATTGTCTTCAGTGTGAGCCCATGCCCTCAATGTGAGCTCGTGTATAAATATCTCTGCTGCCTTCGCAAAGAGCACAGGTGCCTCACCCGATATCATTTTGACCTCCTCATCCAGTTTCATTATTTTCTTGATTCTAGCCAATGGCAGAGCTTGAGTCTTAAAATCCTCCTGAAATTCACATGTTTATAATTTGACATCTCTCAATGAAGGTGTGTGAAATATTGGGGCAAAAATGCTTTTGGTGAGTTCATAATTTTAATTATGATATTATAACATTAATACTCACTGAAGTTACTTTTTTTATATCTTCCATGACCTTGATCCAAAACTGTTGTAAAGTCTGTTGTCCATTATCAACAGTGGTAATTTCTTCAGTAACTTCAGCTTCAATCTCCTCAGCTACACCTGAAGCACCCCCATGGTCTCTGCAATATTAATATAGTAAATGACTAAGAGGAAACCTAATTATATTACAACTCATCAAAGTATAAAAATGTATTTTTAAAAAAGTTTATAAAACTTTTTCTGTTGACTGTACGTATTCAAATTATAATTAGTTTAGGAAAAATCTCATGTATTCAATTTAGATACGAGCGGCACTGTTACGCTACGTTATCGTGTAGTAAGCCTAATTAATTACCAATATCGAATATCAAGCCGTAATAACTTCAGTGATAAAGTGTAAAGTATACGTAACGGGAACTTACGCAGGTACAAAGAAGCACACCGACATCTTGAATGTTCTGTTCACTCAAGTGCGTTATTGGAAAAATCCAAAAAATTACGATAAAAAAATGTCAAAGGCACACAAAATACAAATTATGAACCCGCGGCGAAACTTTATTTAAAAACAGAGTAACCAATAATCAGCCTAATAACCAAGAATCTCCAATCACCAATTACTGAAAATGCGCCACTTCCACGATTCGTCCGCCCGATGACCAGTCACAAGCTTGACGTTTCTGTCTGTGTTGCCATTTTGTTATTTTGATGCTATGTGGATTTTGGTGGCTAGTTGTATTTCATAATGCTGCGTAAGATCTCCTAATTGTAATACTACTCTTTGGTATACATACATTGGACAACGAACAACCAACTACTGGGCTTCGTTGGTCCTCAGGAAGTCTTACTAAGTTAGATGAAGTTCGCTGATAATAGTCAGAATCACATCTCGATAGCCAGTATAAGTCACTAGCGATTAAAATAGCTGCGTATGCAAAACTTTTGTAATCTGTTGTAATCTCTGAGAACAACGAAGCTTATTTGTTGTCGTTCATCGGCCCTTTTATATAAGTTGGTCACCAGTCTTCACGCATCGTGAATGGGATTTTTACGGTCTGTATTTTCGCAGAGAAAAAAACAAAGAAAGTGTCGGCTGTAGTCTTCTACATGTAATTTTGAGAATGGTCTGTGATAGCGTCTAAAATGGCGGCTGCAGAAGTTCAGATAGAAAATCCTTCGAATTTACAAATAATTGAAAGGTAAATAGCCGGTACTTTCACTAAATTTATTCTTATCATTCAATGTATCTGTACTTATTTGTTTTTATCTTTTACTGGCATAAATTTGTTAAAAAATTATTTTCGTTCTACGTTTTAGCTTCCTCAATGATCCTATTTACAAAGAAATTATTGAGAATTCATCAACGTTTAACTCTAGATTATGTGCGGAAAGGAGGATGCGAATGCCCTTTATCGATACACAGACCGGTGAGTTGTCATTGATTTATAAATTGATTTGTCCTTGCGCAGCTTCCATGCTGTGAGATTGATGAAGTGTGAAAAATTTTAAACTAGGCCATGGGGCAACTACGTAGATTTAAGATAGTGGTCGGCAACGCTAAATTTGATTTATTATGTACAATTAACCATTCCACATTTGCTGTTTTTAAACTAGATATAACTACCACAGGACTGCTGCACACATCAGCCCTGTGGTAGTTATAAAATAAATAAAGTTTAGTTGTTCACTGATGTGGTAAAAATACTATACATATAATTATCTATGGGTGAAGACTTATTTTTTTTGTCATATCAATGTAAGGCAATTTTCACCAATAGAAAAGGTTTAAAATTAATGTCAGTTGTCTTGTTTATTTCACTGGCACCAAGTTATCTAGTCCTAATTTAATGATATTGAATTATTTTTGTAATGTATTAATTTGAGAGTTATATATCAATCTGAAGATGCCTTGGTTGATTGTACCTTATTACTCAAATAAAGTCAACTACATAGGGCACCAAGAATAGAAATAAATATAAAATAAAAGAAAGTTGGTTATTTGCAGGCCCATCATGAACATTCTTACTGATGTTGGTTATTTGTTCAAGTGATGAAGTGATCTCACACTCATTTTAGATGTTATATTACTTTTGCATTGACGCAGATGCATCTAGCCAATTTTGTTATTGTAATGTGAATCTAAAATCTGTATGATATCTATCACAAGGCACAAAGTCACTGTAGGAATTTTTTTCCAGGAGTGGCACAGAGCCATTGCAATTTATTTATGACAAGAAAACATCGGATGCCAGGAGCTAAAGAAGGACAAGTTTATACATATCCTGCACAAAGGTAAATAAGAAGTACTTACAATCATGTAGTTTTTAAAGTAGAAATTTTTACACCCATTCTTGTGGGTTTTGTTAAGTTTTTAATTAATTTTTAGTGTTATCAACTTTGACTACAAATTATAGGTTTGATGATAATATAATGATATCCATTATTTTAGACTGCAAACCACCAGTGTTATTAATAAACAAGGTTTAACATTGGAGTAAATTTACGCTGAGACTGCACTTAGTATAATTCAAAATTTATATTATTAAACAGAGGTTAACCTAGTACAAGGTAGTAGGTTTGCATATTTTCTGTATAATATGAATTTGGACTAATAATATAATTGCAATTTTAGCATAAATGTACTCTGCCGCTTAACATTGTTTATTAATAGCACTGTACAATTTGTATTTTTTTATCTTCTAATTTCACAAATTATAAGGTCATATACAAGAAAATTATGTACATATGATAATTAAATATTGTATAATATATTATGTTATATGTAAATAGAATATTATAGTATGATAATTATACATATATTTAATATAATATGTAATAACCAGTGGTCGGAATTAGGTAGAGTTATTCATATACTTACACTGATTTCATACAGCAAAAGAATAAAGTGGATATGCCTCAAATCCCGAGATTAATTTTAAAGAGCAGAAAAAAATCCCATGATTTTTTAAATAAAAAGTTATTTACTTTTACACAATTTAAACTATTGCACGTACGACGTTGCCAAACTTACATCAATGAAAGAAAGAAATAAAGAAATCCCGTGAAGGTCCACATTAATATCAACATTTAGATGCAAGTACACAAATAACTCTACCTAATTCCGACCTCTGGTAATAACATATTGTCCCATTTTGCTTTACTTAAACCTTATCATATATACACTGGTATCAACACACAGATGGCGCAAAGCCCGGCGTCAATATTTGACAATGTCATCAACTCGATGGGGTTGGAGTGGTGCTACTGACACTGCTGATAACACAGGAGAAGGGGAAAACAGTTCTGGAATACCTGGTGAGGCTCTAGCTGGTGAAGACAGTAGAGATGGTTCACAGACTGCTACAAAAGATGACCCTAAGGTGAGACTGCTGTTTTAATGCTCCTGATAATACAATTCTTTTGAATTAAGTGTTTTTTTTTTTACTTGTTTATTTATTAATCTAATATAAGTATTTATTTTATTTTAGTTTTAAAATAATCTTCAAACTATAGATATAAGGTGTTCATAGAGTCAAAGTCAAAAAGCTTTTTATTGGAATGAATTTATTGAAAGTACTTTTGAAACATTCTACATTATTTACCTAACTATATTCACTTGGCAAATGCTATAAAGTAAAGTTTTAAAGATATAGTATGTATCCCTACACTGGATCGTCGACAGAAACTATCGTTTGATGTGAACAGTATTTCCAGGAGTGGTTCTACGACGAGCTGGCGATGGAGGAGATGGAGACTGGTGAGGAGCCGGATCCGGAATCTGATGAGGATTACTTCCATGACACGTACGCGAATAGGAGGCGGCGCAGGGGAGGGGCCGCGCCCACCGGGCCGGGGTCACGTGGCGGCCGTGTTAGGAAGCAGCCAGACGACACGCCAGCCAAGCGAGGACGAGCGGTCAGTATCAACCATAGTTCGCTGATAAATATCAATGGATATACAGTGGTGGCCACAGAAATCAGAAAAGAGGTTAGAAAGGTGATCGTGCATCCTTTGTACGAAAACCGATATCGCCATTCTTGCCCATATCTTAGTCCGCCATATCCTTTATATGAAAACCGATATAGATATCCGGCATACATCAGACGAAATATTAGACCAATTATACAAAAGATATGCACACACTTGCATTTTAAACATCCCAATCAGAACGCTTCATTATAACTATAATCAATCACGCTTAACTGTAAAATACATCTAGAGTGCATAATAAACATGTTAAAAGCCATTTTAATTTGACATATTACACTAGTGATTGACATAGTTATTTATTATCGATATTGAAAAACAACAAGACAATTAATTGAAAGGAAACCAGAGTAATGATTTCTTTATTTTATTTCGGATATACATTGGATTGTATTGATTAATTGTAATATTATCTTTTTTCTTTAGATATTAATATAAAAAAAAATCATAATTTTTTTTATGCTTGTTAATTAGTTGGTTGAATCAGTAAGAAATATTTAAATCACTTGCTAATAATGAACTAACATTGAATCAGTACTAGTCGTGCTTAAATATTTATTTGCATATGTTTGTTGGTTTGTTAATAAATAATAAAAGTAGGTATTTCTTTTACGTTACGTTACCCGATTTCATATCAAGTAAACAGATAAGACCGGCAACATGGCTTAAATGAAAGTAGTAATATTGATAAATGTATACAAAAAAAAAAAAAAACAATTAGTACAATAAATGCTATTGGAACTTACCCCGACGATTTAAAAAGTATTGTTGTTAATGGATTAAATTAAAAAATCCAATTTTCTGTAACAATATTAGGAATATAAAAACAGATTCTTTCGCTACACCACACGCTTTATTAAATTTATATACAAACGCATACCAAACGAAGTCAATATGATAGTCTATAATGGGGTTACATTTAATTTATTGCTATTGTTAATCTCTAATTAAATTTATCTTCTATTACCACTATTTTTGTCGTCCTTACTTTTATTTAGTTTTTACTGACTAACACACAAAGAATTGATTAAATGTTCCCATGGCACTTCACTAGCGATCTACCATAATCTATTATGTTATTATTTAGAACGATGATTTTGTGATGTTCTTTACATTACGTGCTTACTACGAGGCAATGTAATAAATATGCGTACTTCTCCAGCAATGTATATTTTCTTTGAAATTTTTTTTGTGATTCACACTTTTGATAACATTTCACGAATTTAGAATAAAAATACTAAATTTGAGAAGTGTTCTACTTACTAATGAAAAAAAAAACCCTTCTTTGGACTTACTTGAGGATTGGATTTGTAATTAATAACCGGTATTTTTAACACTTTTAGTGGCGTGTTTCATAGTATTTACAGCGCGCGCGTTCGTGAATGACTAAACATTGCGGTCGCGTGGTGAAGTCATGATCCTGTACATTTGTCCAGGATCGTGGCTACGCTGCCACGCCCACAAGGCCCTTCTAACGTCTTTCTGTGTTCTGTCGTGGTGGCTATATAATTAAGAACGCTCCCTTGAAAATAGTACATTTATTTAAAAAAAACAGTTTGTTGCATGTATTATTTTTTAATTATTGTGGTACTTCAAAATCTTTCTACATTGTTGGTACTTAGTTCTATAAATTAGATTTAATAAAGCACAACTAGAAAAAAGTGTAAATTACGCAAACATTAAATCTAATCCAAGAATTACTTCTTACTGGCTGGTCAAATAAGTAAGAACGCCAACTATTAATTTTTTTATTCAAAATCAAACAAAAAACACTCACGGTTATACTATTTTCTCATGAAACTGGCCCAGTTTAGAAGTGTAAACACAATTGGAACGTAATGTTTCAAAATAATAATGGGAAAAAATTAAAGTTGCGGCCAATCTACAAGGGAGATTATATTAAAACTTTGGGAGGAGAATTGATCCAATAAAAAAATTGCTGACCATCTACAATGTTCAAAGACCGAAAACAACATCTCTTTGAGACGACAGAAACATCATTTGTTTGGCGAAATGAAATCCTTTCAAAGGGTCTAACGAGATACTAAAGAAATATTTTTGCGAAGGAAACCCCTCTGCGATCTCGGCACGCACTATTCGAAGGCGTTTAGTAGAAGAAAAGTTGTACAGCAGAATAGTAAGAAAGATACCTATGCTAAAACAGTGCCATAGGTGAGCCTAAAAACTATGGAACCTGCATAGTTAAACAGTGGTTAAATGTACTTTTTTCTGACAAAATGAAAAAAAATAGTGTGCTCTGATGGAAAGTGATACGCACGTCGGCCCTCTGATAAGGCATTTGAGCCTAAGTTTACTAAGGTGACTTTAAAACATGGTGGTTGCAATTTCAAAATTTGGGGTTACTTATTTGGTCATGTGATTGGGCCTATTAGGCTTATAGAAGGAAACATGGATCAAGTTCAATACAATAATATATTGGAAAAAACAATGTTACCTTATGCTGAAGACATTCTTCCTGTTATTTGGAAATTTCCAAAACATACAGCCTACTCGGTAAAGGAATTTCTTTAATCTCAATCCGTTGCCGTCTTAGACTGGCCAGCTAACAGTGCTGATTTAAACCCAATAGAAATAAGTTAAAAAAGGTAGCAAATTGACTGTGTGGTATTTAAGGAAACTATATGACGTTTTCTCAGAAGAATTCTATTTCTTATGCAAAATGTCAAAAAATTATAATCAATGCCTCGTTGGTGTAAAGCAGTTATTAAAAGTCGTGGACATACGACCAAATATTAGTTTTTGTTTAAAATATTTTTAATTTCTCTTTTAATGTACATTTTTTATATATTAACAATACAATTACTCTGTATTTTATTTTAAACATTTTACCAACAGCTTAAAAGTATCGTTTCTAATTATTTGTCCAGCTTCATTATCATATACTATAATACTGACCACAATAAATATACTTTTACAAATAAAGTTACTAAGTTTAGATGTCTATCCTAGTTTAGTTTATCTTAACTAACTGGGTCTCAGAAAAGTTTCATTTAAGACATTCTGTAACTACAAAACGTTCTTAATTATATGGCCACCACTGTATAGCATGTTGTAGGCTAATCATTAATTGGGCCAATCGAGATCTGCCCAGGCATATCACGATATGCCGAAAGTTAACAGTATAGCATTGTGAGTGCAAAATTGATCAAATATAATTATTTTAATAATTAGAACCAATTTTCATCATTATCGAAAGTCTAAATATTTGTAAAAATTGCCTGAACATTGATGAAAATACGCTCTGTAGAAGCGAAGAAGTAACAAGTGCTTGAAAGATTCATTAGTCTTCAGCTCAGTGGTTAGAGCAGTCGTCCGGATTGCGAAAGGTCATGGGTTCGAATCCCATCTCAGAGTGCCAGAGACAGTGGTTTTTTTTTTAAAGAATATTCTTCAGTAATTCATTGTGAATGTAAAATTCATCAAATATAATAGTTTATAATAAATAAACAAATATTAAATAAATCAAACTCAATTTTTATTTTACATTTTTGATTTAAAAAATCAAATATTAAATAAAGCCATTAAAAATCGTAGCTTTCAATATACATGATAAATATCTGTTTTTTGCAAACCCTAATATCGACACATCATCATCACCAGCCCACTGCTACGGCTCAAACCTTCCCTGTGGGTGGAATTAAATCAAATTTGACAGGAAGAACGGGGCATGATCCACGTGGACCCAGTGCTTTTGATGGGTATTTACGACTATTGATGCAGCTGGGACCATAGGCTTAACGTGTCTTCCGAAGCACGAAGGAACTTGAGATATTAAAATTTTGCTCACCCATCTCATTACCTGCCATTGCGAAAGTTGCTTAACAACATATTGCAGACCAAGCGCGCTAACCACTGTTCCATCGAGCTCCTTCAACACACTACTTCCCTAATCTTACTTCTACTAATAAGGACGAAATCTGTAGCCGAGTGGTTCGCATGTCGGTTTTAATGTGCTGCCATGTGGGTTCGATTCCCGGTGGGTCAATGTAGAAAATAAAAAGTAAATTTCACTTAAACTCAACTCTGAATGCAAACTCAAACTCTCAGCTTCAACACTTTTCCTGTAAGGTTTTGTCCATACACTTTTGTTAAGTTGATATTTTATTCTAGGGTCGTGGTAGAAAGAAGGCGGCACAAAGTCCCGCCCTTCCGTACGAGGAAACAGGCGATTCAGAGAAACCCTTCGGTTGCGAACGTAAGTCCACAAGAAGGAGGCACTAACCTCAGACTGTTTACCTCGGGATCCTATTAGACGCCAATTGACTACCTTATTACAGAAATACTGAGTTAAAATGGTCTAAATTCATTATGATTTATTACATTTAAATATTATATAGGTTCCTGTCAATATGGAACAGCATTTATGTTTAAGTTCGGGTCAGTTTGTATAGCTGATAAAGGGTATGTTCCGATATACACTGCGACCACTGAACAGTATGACGTCAATTTAGTATACTGGAAGCCCGTTCCTTTATAGCTAGTTATACTGGTGACTTTTTAAAACGGAACGCAGTCCAGTATACTGTTAATCCTATTTTTTGGCGCCATTTTCAAATTTGTTAATGCAAGGTGAATATAAATAAAAAAGTTTCCCTCTTTTCAAAAGAAAATTGGAAAATTGTATAAAAAAATTATTTGTCAATTAAATCCATCTTATAAATAAACGTAAGTATTTTTTTTTGTTTATTTAGAAACTTATTATTTTCTGATTCTGTTTCGACTGATCACGTGATCAAAAGCACTGCGAGCACCTTACCTCGAAATCTCCAGTGCTCACAGTACAAATATGGCGACAATTTATGACGTCATAAATTTCCCTAGGGTAGAACGGATTTTTCAGCAGTAAGACCACTGCGCAGTGCTCGCAGTGTATATCGGAACATACCCAAAATTCTATTGAGAGTGATTTCCTATTCTGTTGAAAATATTTCCATTGTATACTAGAATAGACTCCAGAAATGCAGCTAGCTATAAAAGCAGCAAACATAACAGTAAAATATAAGCTTCAGATTTATACTTTTTAAAATATACTATTTTAAATACCTCTCTTGCAGAACTTTTCAGCACTTATACATAAGAGCCATCAATTTACAATTGCAATAACATGATTCCATAAACAATTATGTGTGGTCGCATTTTTGTACACTTGTATTCTATTGTTACGTTATCTCGCTCTAGCAAACAACTGTCCTGAACAATAAAAAAAGGCAAGAGCAGTAACATAAAGCAATTCAATGCTGACAGGCAAGAATGACCTCTAAAACTAATCCTGCTTATTATGTTAAATTTATTATTGTTTAAAAATCAACAAGATCGCCTTATTAAAACTCTTCTGCATTTTGTAATAAGGTAGGATATTGTCTACTGGATTTGGAGGTCTCTTGACAATGTCACAGAAAATAGACAGATGTCAAAGTTAAAATCATAGTTGGAAGAGCATTAGTTTATGACATAATTGACATCAATACATAGGGCATGATAAAATGAGAAATTATTGCTATTTGGACACACGACTGCACGACAGGTTACAATCAACTTTCTGCAGTGGGTTTTACCTTCAATTTATTGTGTCTTAAAATCTAGTGTGGAAATTTGAGTTTTGTATAATCTGACACGCTGTTGACTGTACTACAATCAATAAATGTATTATTATTATGAACTGTTACTTATCTAAAGCATAATGCCATTAGCTTGTTTCATAATGGATTTAATGTTTTTAATTGTAGTGCAGTAATTATGTATTTGAATTTTATTACGCAATATTATTAAACATAAAATATACGCTGTAGATTGAGTATCTATAATCATCATCTACGGAAAACTCGTCAACTAACGATTCGGATATGGATATCGAATATTGTAAATTTATTACATACCTACGCAGTTGTATAGACATAAATTTGCTCAATAGTTACTATATACAATATAAATGGACCCGAGTTTCATATTTTGATGAGATTTGCGCTATTCGAAATCGAGGGTACTAAATATTATGCTGTCAGATTGTAAAATTACGTCACAATATAATTTATCAGTTTACATAATCATAAAATCATTTTATTCTAAATTTAAATTTAACTATTAGTGATTTAGAATTACCATTTAGAAATTCACATTACAAACAAGTTAATATTTTATATGTATAATTATATTTTATAAGTATATGTATAATGTTATGTTCTAAGTCGAATTTTTATCTCATATAATATTAAATTATTAGGATGAAGGCATATTTCTTGATAGGGTAGCGTTAATGTAGGAGCCTGTGAGTTTATTGAAAGTAGAGTAGGCGCAGTTTTAATTGGATATTTCTAGCTATATAACTTTTATAAAAGACGTCGCTTGCGTTACAAATACTGATCAACTAACGATACTTATCGCTATAGCACGGTCACCGTACAGAGAGAATTTTGAATGTTGACCTTTGTGCCTACTAATAGATATCGTAAACGTTTTACGTTCTCTTTACTATGACAATATTCTCAAGATACATCTGTACGAGCGCAAGAGCAATATGCGCACGAGTGAGAGATATGAAATGTCGGGTCATTGTACATTATTTCTGTTTGGCGACTGACATATTCCAATTTTTTATTACTATTGTGACAAAATCATTAAGCATGCTTATTATAGTATAATGTTTTAAAATAAAAAAATTGGTTTAATAAACGATATTTAATAAATGATGGAGATTTAAAAATCCCGAAAACACAAATATCTACACTCCATTGTCATGATTCCACTTTGTAGTACTAGATGGTACTTTGAATGAAAGCAGTTGCTTTTCTATTTAACTGATGCATCATCTTGAGAAAGGGCTGTTGACAAAAAAGAAAAGAAATATGATTAACAGAAGCTACGCTTTATGAAATAGTGTTATAGTCCATAAATGTTTTAGCTCCCTTGAAAACAATCATTGGCCATCAATATGTCGTGTTGGTTTATAGTTTTTGTAACCCAAGTGTTTGGTAGATTCGAAAATAAGCTTTGAGGCTAGAAATTTTATAACTGCATTGAATGATCATTTGAATTATTCGAATAGCGCAAAATCTATGTAATATCATACAATCATCATATAGTTCTAACTACAGAGCCGATGAATGCCGCTCTTTAATAATCTTCTTTGGTCATTATAAGTGGAAGGTTTTTTTCAGCAATAAGAATCGGCTTAGTTGGGTATTTTGTTGCTGTGTGTTATTTATATAACCTAAGAGTCATAATTGAATCGATTTTTTTGCCTCTGTTATTAAGTAATAATAAAAATAAAGGGAGTTTAGTTTGGTATTGTTCGCCATTTTAAATGTCGCATTAGATAATGCCAATTGCCGAGTTAAATGAGTAAAAAGCATGTGATTTTGCTTGTATTTATTATGGTGTTCTACTTTAAACATTTTTTCTTTGCATTAATGATAGTTGATGGATCAAAGCGGCTGTTTTTTTTTCAGTCAAAATAAAAGATTATTATGATAACACAATTTAAATGTCTCATATTGTAGCACTTTTTAAGTCTTTTACTTTCAATAGATAGATGATCACAAAACATAAGTTTTGAAATAAAAATATTAGTGCTGGAGGGCGGTAAATCAAATTGTTTCAAATAATTTCATTAACATACAAAAATTTGTATAAATTAATTAAATAATGATTATATAGTTTTCTATTATTTTAAAACTATAAATTTTCACAGAGCCTAAAAATAAGATAGAAATACAGCCAGTTGCGCAAGTCCATTAAAATTGTCACAAGTTTGAAGCGACATTACCCATACAAATTTGACATTCATTAGAGCTTAAAGGCGTCATTAAACCTTAATGAACGTTTCTGCAACTGACCATTAATCTGATAAAAGTTTCCAAATTCCTTACTTTGAATTTTGTCGTTTTACTAAATTAGCGCCATCTATTAATACATACTCAAAAGCGATATGTGGAATGTTCTGCATTAATATGCAATATTAAATAGCACACAACAACAAATATAATAAAGTGTCAGCAAATAAAATTTACAAGAAATGCCTTTTATTGTTGTGTATGTATGTACGTACATGTGTATAATATTAGTGGAATAAGTGAATCTCCCGGTATTTGCCGATTGATTATGAACTTTATTATTAGATAATTTTTAGGACAATTTTAGGCTTTACACGGTGATTGACTAGGATGGGAGGCTGTGTAATAATTCATTCGTTATCTATATTTAACGATGAGAATTTAAACATCACATGTCTTATAATGCATAATTTATAGTTCACCTACAAAATTTTATTATTATCAATTTAGATGCAAAAGAAAAGTAATCATGCATTTAATTATTACGTTCTAAGGCCAAGTGTTTACTAGTAATAGAACTCTTCACTAACTTGCATTCTCTTAAAAGCTCGTTCTCATTGGTCGATAAGCTTGTCAGGAATTTCCTGAAGTCTGGATAGCAACTAATAAATTTTTTACAGTAAACAACGCAGTCGATCATAATATATTGTATTAGCTGTTGTCCTGTGACTTCATACGAGTAAATTATTGCCTATGTCAACCTCGTATGATATAGCTACCCTCAAATGAAATATTTTTTTAACAAACAATCAAATTTTTCCTTCTTATACTTATTATATAGGTATTGTATGTGTAACAAAGATCGCTCCACATGGAGGCCCTACCGACTAGAGAAAACGACTTTGAATGGTTTACTGTACTGCTACTTTGTTGTAAAAACAGCTTCGAACTCGATGTTTAGCACAGAGCAAACCTAATCAAGGGCGTAATTCATAATTAAGACTAAATTTAATTAAAAGAACAATGATACCATCTTAATTTGGAAAATGATTTTTAACGTGCTTTTAGCGAAAATGAACCTTATACCAAAAGCTGGTGAATGGAAACCGTTAATAACAATCACTTATCTGTATTCACTTTTAATATTAGTATTACAACCTTAAAGTAGGAGTAGAATCACTATAGGAATAAAGTGATTACATTTATAAAAAGGTAAAGCACCACTGACATAGAGTTTCTGCGAAATAAAACCTTTATTACCTCTTTAAGTAGGTTTATAAGATTGATCCTCTATTATGTGATAGAGTTGCTTTTAACGTCAAATTAGAGTTTGTACGCCGGCGCTAACGACCAATGAAAATGCGCTTAAGGCTCGTGTACATTGGTTGAAGTAAACATTAATTAACGTCTCAAATATTATATACTTCTTCGAAATTCTTCAGTCAATGTCCATGAGCTTTATGTCAATTAAAAAAACCGATAGTTCAAAAGCATATTTGTAATCAGAAACACCAATTGTAATAATAAAAAAAAAACACTGCCACAATGATATATTTTTAATAATACGTTGGATTGAAGGGGATGTAGTGGTTCTGTTATTTATAAAATAGTTTAGTGTAGGACTCTTCAATTTCGGTACAGAACCTTTATCGTTGTTTAGTTTAGTTGATTGATTCGAGTACGTGTTTTATTCAATATTTACAAATCTAAATAGCAATAGAACAAACTAATGTTTTGTTTTTTGCTTCATCATTTGATAGTAACAGTATGTTTTGAAATCATCAGTATTATGGAATGATTAAAACTATTGAAATTGGTAGTTATTATTATTTGTGTATAATATTAATTACTGAAATTTATATTATTCAAGGTACACACAGTAGTAGATCAGATTACAATAAAAAAGCAAATTTCTATAATAAATTTTGAATTTCGAAGTAACAGGTTTTGGAAATTCTACCTTTTGTTGGAAGACTTTGATAGGGTTCTGTACTGAAAAGAATATTATTATTGTAATAGTTAGAAGGCTACCTTTGACTTTAATGTAATTTTACAATGTCATTAAATGATCTTAGCACAAACCTTATAACAAGTTGTGATTGTAACATGACAGCTGGGATACGTCTCGGGTCAGGTGTAAATAGAAACAACCCTCGTCTACGATTTATGTCGATATACCGAGTACAGTTTAATAGTGAGACTTGTTACCTACTTTTGACATTTAACATTACATTACAATTAGTTTATTTCTCGACTTTGTTGTGGTCCAATTTATATTATCTCGCTCTTTCTTCATATAGAAAAGCTCATCACGCTACCTGTGCAGTGTCATGTTTTGAGAATTCATGTTGTTTTAGCTCTCACAGTAAAATATGGTCCTGACTACGAATATTTGTCACAGAATTTTTATTGAAATTGGTCCTAAAAAGGGCCCGTTTATAGTATGCCAGTCTTCAACAATTTTCGTAGCATAAATGGCGCCTAAAACTTCATGTGCAAATTGCAAATTCATTTAAATATCAAATTCTGATTTACGAATGGTCGCAAGTACGTTGTGTGAGAGAAATGTTGACATAATTATGATATTTTTTAAATGTAAAATAAATATGGAAGTAATTGGTAGCCTGCAATGTGTTTATTCTAAACAGGATCTTATGAATTAATCACAATTTTAATCATGATATAATTGTAGCACCATTTGTTTTGGATGTGTATGACTCATGTGTCTGTGATAGAACTATTTATTTTCATCTCATAATAATCGGATTAGCGTTTTCTTGAAAACAATGACTAAAGTTTTGCAGTGCAGTTATATTACTCATTTTACTGTGCAAGTATTTTTAACTGCTTCAAAAGGGAATGCTTTTTTATCACGCCTATATTATGTTTTTTAACATAAATAAAAATATATCAATAAACATGTAATAAAAAAGATTAAATAAAGATAAGTACTCTGTACTTATGATGTTGAAATCCAGTAAATTGCAAATGGTGCGCGGGAGTGACAAGGACGAAAACTCAAACCTCACACCCATAATTTTGATAGCTAATTTAAAATGATAATTTTACATTTTTGTTTTAAAATATTTGGAGTAATAAATTATTTAATTTTTTAATAAAGTTTTTCGAGTATTTTCCCTTGTCTTCATACAAAGAAAAACAATATGTATATTTTTTCTTTTTTTTTATTATACTTATAATTGAGTGGTTCTGTAATAGTTTTAAATTGTCATGAATTCCATTGTAATTTTTATTCAAATTTCATTATTAAATAACAGTTTTGAATGTGAAATTTTAGTCATTGTACTAATTATATTGTGTTTGGCTTACGAAATCATTTATTTATTGTATTAAATTGGATCAGTGTATGCGAGTTCTTGATGTTATTCTTAGATCCAAACTATTATTAGCACCCAAAGATTGTTATGAATTTATACAAAATATTTATGTTGAATAAGAAATAAAAATCATAAAAGGTAAACGTGAGACTATTCATTAACTGATTGGACTCAAAGTTTGGATCTCTCTGAATACACTGAGGATTTTATATATATTTATATATGAAGTTTATGCTTTACGACACCTAATGAAATATCTGTTCATTTAAAAACTATTTATTCGAATGCACTAAAAACATGCATATTAATTTTACTCCTCTATTTTTTCTTAATAAAGAAGACATCTTTTCAACTTGAAAGCGTAAAAGAATGATATTTTTTGTCAAAATTCTCAGTGTATCTCTGAATTATATTTGTTTTTCGGAAATACCTATGGATATTAAATTATATGTAAATTGTAAATAGTGAATAGCAGATCCAATGATTTGACGTCATCAATCAAAGCAACCAAGGAGCCTGCGTCCACCAGAACAAACCATAGATGTATCACGACGGGCCGGCTATTCTTTATTTATAGCACAATGTATTGCACAATTACTAAGAGAATAAAAAATATTGTATACAATCGATTTACTGATTCGTTCTTCTCAACTAAAAGTTTCATCTGAACGAATATGAGTTTTCATTAAATATGCGATGAAATTTCGAATTTTAAAATGGCTAATGTACAATTTTAAATCGATTGTTTACCATCGTTCAAGAAGTACACGAGAAGGTATTGATTGATGACGGATAATTATCGGAGAGGCTGTGTCACATCGTTTGCCGTCGTGGTGCCTCCTATGCTCTGTTCTGATGACGTAGGCTCTATTACCCCACCCTTTTCATGATTTATTTTTCAATAACAGTCATTTGTGACATAAAAGTGAATTGGCAAAGGCAGATGGAGGCATTACGAGTGGTAAGTAATATTTTTTTTGCATTATAACTTTCGGTTTTGAAACTCGAGTGTAGTTAAGCATCTATTTGTACTCATCCGGCTTAAAAGACCATTGAATTACCGAATATGAAAATATGTTTTTTTTTTTGTGTTCATTACAGTGAGATTACATAAGATTATTCGCATTTGTTTTATCACAGTGATAAATAGTGCGATGGCTCCTTTTTTAAATTGAAAATCGGAAAAATGTTCTAGCAATATGGGGCATATGTAATCTTTTAACTGAATAAGTATTATTAGTGACCTCAAAGCTAGACTATTTCTTGTATATGTAAATAAAACTTTTAATTAATCTTCGGTAGGTTGATCGTTAGTTGTATTGTAATTGAAACTAGCCAAACTAATCATCGAGTTAGTTTTACCTCTTTTTCGTTTGAGAACTTAAAGTTAATCATCAAATATCAAAGGATAATGTTTTCACTAGTTTGCGGAGCGAAATACAAGACACGCGCGGGCCTCACTTATCACTTCACGCACACGCACAAGGACCCCACTGGGGGACCGAGTGGGCCCCCCGCTGCTGGCAGCGACGGGGACTCGCGTGACAGCCGGGCGGGCGCACATACACCCCCAGGACCACAGACGCCCACCACATCCGCTGGGACCCCGGCCGCTCCTGCCACAGAGTATCAGGATAGCTACGTCACGTTCCTCAATAATCCAGCTGTAGGAGCTGGTAAGTAAATAGTTCTTAGTTGATCTGATTTAAGGTCGACATTCACTTTCTTATGTAAATTAATAATCTGCTGTCATGAAGTTCGTCATTTATATTATTGTCGAATACATTTTAGAAAGGAGTATGGGCAATTTACTATGAGAGTTCGGCTATTTTTGCGTAACCGTGCACATTGTTGGAACATCTGATTTTCGCAATTTTGTTTTTGGATTGTAGGCCCTTGGTCACATGAACGAAATATACTGTTAATATTTTTTGCGATACTTTATAGTTATTCTTGTTTGAAATAACTTATAATGTAAACAATAACTTTGAAGTATTTTTATTTTAAAATAAATCGTAAGTGTATTTTATATTTGCAAAATTAATTTGCGATTTATAATCTGCTATGGATTATAAGAACTGAACGGGCGGCCATGACGGAGCTACGTATAATATATATACGACGGAACGATGCCACATTTCAGTAAACTATATGTCGACGTCTTTATTGCGAGTCTTCGTATTTGTTTATTGAAAAGTAACGCGACTGATACAATTTAATGAATACGTTTTTACTTTATTTAAAAACAGTTTTTGGAGAAAAATAAATCTGATATTTGTTTAATATAAAAGTTTTAATTTCCATTTTTCGAAATAGTCAAGCAAGCAATTATTATTTTTTGGAATATTGTATTATTTAGCAGCCGTGAACGTACCAACGCCAGTACAGCGTCGGCCGTCTCCGCCCCCGAGGCCGGCGTCCGCGGATACTTCGTCATCAGACTCTGCGCACGCGCCGCTAGTGCCTCCTGCTACGACCTCAGCCCCTACATCCGCCCCCGCCTCCGCTCCAGCCCCCACACCCTCTACACCATCCACAACAGCTGGACAGAGCACGCCACCTGTACTTATGAAGGAACCGGATACTAAGGTACTGTAGTGAAGGCACTATACACATGTTTTTATGGAAAGTGGAAGAATGCAAAAGCCGAGTAAGGCCACGACACACCTTTCACGATCAAATCAATCGCGTGCTATTAAAATGTGATGACAGAAGCCATAAGAACCAGTGTGCATGTATGAAAAGAGTAATGAAAGTGTAACAGCAACTTTGCCTTATGGCACCCGGTCCTCTCTGTAAATACTATCTTATTTACTTATATCCTATTGTTAACAGGCATCCCCGTCTCCATATTGCGATTTCTGCCTAGGAGACGATCGCAAGAACAAGAAGACCGGCATACCAGAAGAGTTAGTCAGCTGTTGCGATTGTGGACGGTCAGGTAAGCGTCGTGGACGTCCACGGAATGGATACACGCCCTGCTACCACATAAAGAATAGAGTATGTGAACGTCACAGACATCTAAAAGACAATGTGAAATTAAACGGAGTACTAGAGATACTCACCTCCATGTCTTATCCAGCTGACGCGTTTGATACGTTCGCGACCCAAACTAAACTCCTTAGAGACGAGTATGTAGAGTATCCAGTATCACCCCCGTCCTCTCGACAAAGTCCGGTTATTTAAAAGCGAAAATAATTGCCTTTGTCACAAAAGAGGTCATCACAAATTGTTGGTTTAGTTACCAAAGAGGTATATTTTTATTTTTTCGCAGATATAGCTTCTGTTTTCGTTATGCATTCCAATTTTCAAATTTTTAAGCTTCCAATTCGCACGCGCACAAGCGATTGCACCGTGAGTGAAATTACGAAGATGTTTCTTTTAATTAATATTGTGATCTTAAGAGTTGCCATGGCAGATCTCTACAAATGTGACTTTGGATGCTAAATATTTACGAGATATCCATGCTCTTTAATATTAAAGTATGTTTCCTAAGTCACGATTATACTTATTAATACGGTACATAAATTCAATTATATTGAGCCTTCATCTCTATGATGATAACTTATGTCGTGCCTTATTTTTCACGCATAGAATATGCGTAAAAATATCATATCATACACGTTTGATTTTCTTCGGGAGAATCATGATGGAAATCTTAGTAATTTTTCAAACATTGATAAACCTTTTTTTATTATGTCGCATTGGATAAAAGAAGGAAGATCGTATACATTTTTCTAAAACTACAGTTGCAATGCCAAAAAAGTTAAAATTAAAGTTATACATGTAGATTAACATTAGAAATATTTTAATTACTTTTTAATAGAAAATCAAAATAATTTGTATATTTTACTCTACATGATATAAGATTATTAGAAGTATCAATAAGTATTTTAACTGACTTAATTTTTGGTTTAATAATTCAGAAAATATAATTTTAACACAGATGCACTAATACATGTTTGCATATTTTCATTTACTATTTAGGATCGACTGCTACCATGCCAAAAATATTCACCCTAGCTTATCTAGTCACTCAATCAAATAATAAAGTCATTTATTTAAAGACAATCAGTTTTGTTGTAAGTACTATTTTAAATGGTTTAAAAGCATTAACAAACAGAACACACCGAGTAATATTTATTAATAATACCTTTTTACTTTATTCTTTGGTATTTTTGTTTAGTGGATCGAGTTCGTTTTTTTTTTTATTAAGTTTGAAGTTATAATTCGATTTTTTTTTTTAAAACAAACATAATTTATGAGGTGGACTTTTTCAATGTTATATATTACATTTATCCAAATGCTTGGAACAGTTGGAATTAGAATGTTCTAAGAGGGTGACTTAAAATTTTTACACATACATATTGCTGACGTAACAATGATAATTATTTATTTATGTATGAAATATATTCATTAAATACAATATATATGAAATTCGAACTTGATCCGTTAAAATACAATATTTGAAACCATTACATGAACAGTAATAAAGATTTTGCGCAAAGGGAATTGTTCAGTTTCTATAGGCACTTTGGTGAACAATATCTGGGAATATAAAAAAAAAAAAAAATTAATGTTTTGTATTTAAAGAAAGAAAACTATTGTAGTATTTTCACGAGAAAAATTAATAGTATGTATAAACTAACGTGTAGAATTCTAATAATAATGTCACTGAAAAAGTTATTGCTAGCAAAATACTTTGTTTGCCTTACTAACCTATTGAATTCAATCAACCAATTGAACTACCAGATAACTAGCAAGATTTATGAATTGAAGCATATAACGTTCATTACTAGTGAACATAATGTTATTAATGTTCAGGAAATTCATCTGAACTAAATTAATTTAATAAATTAATGTAATTTATATATTAATGTAATTTAAAAATTAAAATTACATTAATATATAAATATTTCCTGACATAAGTATTTCTTTCTTATTTTTAAATTATATTATTAAAAAGTGATTTTACATCACATGTTTAAAGAAATATCAAGTAAAACAAGCCAAAATTCTGTTTATTACTATTTTATTTTGAATAATTTTTAATGATATCTAAAAACATAAATTCAGCCCAATTACTATAATGAGAACTACACATGCTACGATTGTACGTCTGACATATAAAAGTTAAAACCAACAACCAATTTTTACCCAAAGGAAACTGTCATATACTGTGATTAGTCACAATCCGTTCGGTTCTATACTTATAGCCTGGTCTTCATTCCGAACGATATTAGATTCATCCAAATACAAATCAATTCGGGTTCACAGAAAAAGTATAGCAGTCGAAAGTAACTTAACAGTAAGGCAAATAAGAATTCTCTTTCTCTCTCGTAATGACTATTTTGTGTCAACCACAATTCTGTCAATTACACCTAGTCACACTTTACATATAATAACTCCAATCGATTTAATAACCCTTTTATTTACTGTTAGGTTTAGGACAAGTAAATTAGTGTTGCCATATAAATATCGAATATCAATTCTAAATTTATGGATTGTATGTAAATCGACTAATACAACTAACCGAAAAGATTATTTGGTACGTTTTTAGTTTGATGAAAGATGATTAATTACATAATATTGCGAAATATTACGATGTGTTGTAATATGTACATATTTTAATGATTTTAAAAGACTACTTAGCTATTAATCGATTTGCTATTTGTAATAGAACTTCGATAGTATTTATTGATATGGAATCACAAGGATCAATGTTTACTTTCCTGCGACGAGTCCAAAAATACTTTTATTTTATTAAGTTTAATGATCAGTTTCTCGTGACGAGAGTATTATATTTTTTTTATTTAATCATATTTTACTGTATACATATTTTTTACCGAATAGCTTGTTCATCAAAAGCCGATGTTGAACAATTCCCTTTCAGTTTTAAGTACAAAATATGTTGTGACTTGAAAAATTTGATCAAATCTGTTGTTTATTTTTAAGGAGCATACACACTGTTCTTAAAAAAAAGGATTGAATTGTTTAAAGAAATATCACTCCAGATATTGTTTATTTTTTCTTTTTATAGAGTTTATTGAGTGCATTGAGTTTAAAAAAGTGACTCATGCAAGAGTAATTAAATCTTACTTATGCTAATATTATAGAGGCAAATGTGCTTTATATTAAAATTTTTTTTTTATATTAATAAGATGAATATTGACTTAACACACACAAGTTAGTTTTTAACACTGCAGTTAGCTGGTTATATTTTTATGTTTACTTACGATGATTGTTAATTAAAAACAAGTGTTTATACAGTCACATAAATTGATTTCTGTGCCGTAATTCGAAGCTCTACGAGAACATTACTCAAACTATCAAACACAAAGAGATCAGTGAAATCATGTGGTCGTTCTCGAGTCGTGTGCTTAGCAACACATCGATTCGTTTTTATTTATAATGGATTGTGTTATTTTTATTACATTCTCTTTTTAATGTGATTTATGGTCTCAAATATCATTCATCATTCGATAAGCTCCATGGCATAAAACCAATTTATTTATTATTAGAAAGTTCTATATGGGCTTGGAAATAAAATTTGGTTAAATATAATAACTTCAAGTGTATGCTCCATTTTAATTCTTATGACAATATAGATTGAATAATCAGTAGAGCTTATTACGTGCCTTTTGATGCTTATTCATAGAAAACGTGTATAAAAAATATAAAATTTTACTTCCCAAAGATTTTAAGCAAAATTTTTTTAAATGTTAAGTTTGAAAAGACTAATACCAACACTATGTTAATTATAAAACCTTTGTCATTCCTCTAACATATTGTTTGTTTAATTATAAAATGTTTAGGTTATTTGTTAGTTTAAAACTGTTATTATATACTTTATAAAAATTATATGACAAATTGTATTGATTGGTTAAATCGTTAATATTGACAATTTATTTAGTTGCGATTTAAATGGTAGTACATTTTATCGATAGATTTATTATTAATATTATGGATACATCTATATTTAGAAACGATATAATAGGAGTTAGTTACATAATTCTAGTTACATAAATGCAATATTATGTATTTTATTTAGTATTTGTTTCAAAGAGTAGTATTCATTTAATGTGTGGAAAAGACACTTATCACAAGAAATATTGTCTAAAATATTTTGATTTCATTTGGATATTTAGTCCGATTTCTTATAAAGCTCTTTGAAAAGCCTGATTTAACCAAGTTATAAGTTTAATGTTCTCATTATCAAATTATAGAGGAAAATATTGAACTCTCTTGTGTTTTACACCGGTTAGGTGCCTTTGTAATTTGCGATAATTATGTTATAGATTCATATTCATTATTTTGCTTGTTAAATATTATAGAAATTATACTTTTAATTGCGCAACTTTATCAGAAATTGTTTATTTTTTGTTATTCATTCTCAAAAATGGAGATATGATAGACTTTTTTTGCATTTTAACTCTGTGATTGTGACATAAATATTCAAAAATGTTTTTTTCCTTTTAAAACAACTGTGTAGCGAATTATAAATTTTTCATTTGAAAAATTTGTTGAAACTTTTTATTTTCAATTTTAATTACTGTTTTCTGATCGAGCTGCGTCATATATATTTATGTTTTATTTAACAGTTACCGAGTATCTCGAATATTTTATTTTTTAAATAAGAATAATAAGTAAATTAAGTCTCATTCCAAAGTGTCAAAAATTATTTGTACGGAAGTGCATATTGCGTACACCCAAAGATTGTTGATTTTTTCTGTTTTATTGTCAGAATGCTATTTGTTTATAGATGGCGCCGTAGGCATATTTTGAGACTGTCGCCGATATGTCGTGTAGATTATGCCTACTGCTTAACAAGTTCTATAGGCTGATATGTCTTATTGTAAAATAAACTCTATACCACAAGAAATAAGGATATATTTTAAAATATCAATTAAAAAGGTTTAATGACAATTCAGCCTATGGAAACATTGTAACGTTTTCATGTTTGTTTTTTATTTTGTGTACCGTGGACATTTCTTTTTGTATAATTAAAAAAAAAATTATAACCGAAATTAAGTCTATGGTTTCATTGTTTGTGCTGAAGAATAGTGAACGTTATGCACTTCCATGCGACATCTATCGGACGCTTTTGATATTTATAGAAATATATATTTATTTTTTTTAATAATGAAACTTGTCATTTAAGTTTGATTTGTTTTTCACTATTGTTCGGCACATAGTATTTCACCATGCCTCATTTTTTATTAAACGATGTTGGAGCTGTTTTCGGAAATATAAGGTAAGAAAAATGTTATGTGCCTAACAATATGTGATTTATATAGTTGTATTAGCTTTCGAGGTTGTTTGAGATCGGTCTTGTTTTTTGTATCGTTAACTGATATATAGCCGGAGGTTGTATGGTATAGATATAGAAAAAAAACAATGTCACCCATACTTGACCCCGAAGACAGAAAGGAAAAGAGTATAGTTACAATTTTTTATGTTGAGTTATAATTATTATTCGATGAGTTTGTCAATTTGATACAAACACTTTATCAAGCTTATTTATTTTATACTTATTTAGACTGGAGCAATGATCTCAAGTTTCAACTTATCTCAGAGATTAAGTAATGATTAAGTCAGAGATTATACAAATAAATTCATACAGATCTACATACAAATCTGCCAAATTTCTCCAGTTGATTTTAAACCTTAATGCATTGTCAATAGAGTTCATAATCAATTGAGGATCGTTGACATAATGTGGTAAACCTGACGTGCAGTCGTGTGTACTTTATAGAAATTACACTACCCTAAAGTATTCGTCTTTCCAACTTATCGGTAATCTTATTATAATAAATTGCATATCCGTTCACAATCAGCCTCTTTTTAATAGCTTTCGCATAATATAAACGAGATATTTTGTTTAATGTGGAATGTCACGATGTTTTCTGTCACATGAATGTCCATATTTATAGTGACATGTTTTTTATTTGTTATTATTTTATCACAGTGAAATGAATTGATGACTTTAATTCTATTCATTCAAATATGCATTGTACTTGAGCCGCTTTTGGTAAGCCAATATGGGGCCGTCCATTAATCACGTAAGGCTCGAAAAAGGGGGGAGGGGGCTTCGTCAAAAATCACGAATTATCACAAGGTATAGTAATATATCACGTGTATATATTTTTTCCTCGAAGGCGTAACTACTAAACCGAAAAGCGGCGTCAAAAAGGTATTTGGAACAGTTTTCGAAATACCTTTTTGTTTAATTTAAAGTGAGGTTCGACAATTTTTTATACACTTGATGACATATCACTATAAATACACGAATGCTTTAGTTAAAATGTACACTTAAATAAAAATATAATATTACAGCGCTAACGCTGAAAAATATCTTCACCGTGACGTTCCACCTTAAGTTAACATTACGTGTATAATGTTAACCTTTTCCATTTTCAACCAGGTCACCCGACTTGTCTGCAGTTTACAGCCAACATGATAGTGTCGGTGCACAAGTACCGCTGGCAGTGCATTGAGTGCAAATGCTGTTCCATCTGTGGGACCAGCGTCGACGACGTGAGTATATTTGGCGTGTTTTAAATGAGTTGTTGATTTTTTTTGTCAATTGATTGAGACACGTGTTTGTGGAAGAGTACGTAGTGAGTGAAATAAGTTTAGGGTAATAGCTAATTTAATATGGATCAAGCGAACGAAGAAAGTCTCTTACAACAGTGATTTATCCATAAAAGATTTGGCTCTTTGTTTGTTTGCAATGAAACTCCGAAACTTTTAAATCGATTTTAAAAATTCTTTTACCTACGGGAAGCTACATCATATGAGGTGAATATAGATTATATTTTATCCCGGAAAACAGCAAATTTAGGGCTGAAAATAGGATTGGAAAGGGTTTAGCCGGATACGTATGACGAGTCGGCCCCCAAATGGGAATCGATATTGAAACTTATGTTTTAATATCGACTTGATGTTCAAACACGATTTATGTACTTTTCGCGACCGACTTCCGCTTTGACCTTGAGATAGAGAGCAAAATATCCGTATGCTTGACTATTACTGAATGTGATATATCTCTAAAGCTAATTAAGATAAAGAAGTGAAACTAACGCGAGGTGTTAGGTTACATTACAGAGTATATCACATATATTTTTTTATAATTTTTAGAATAAAAAATCACATTAAAAAAATAAAAAATAAAAAAAATCATGTTTTTTTCTGAGTTCTCTGTGACTTACAATCACGAAATTAATATATGTTATGCTCCTTTGTGTGCTCTATTACCCATAAAAATTGCGTGGAAAAAAAAGTTGGTGCAACACAACGAAAAAAAATTATATGTGATTTCTGTCTTATGGTATACCCCTGTATTGTAAGGTTTTCACATTACATCATTGTTTTTTTTTTCGAAATTTCACATCAGCTTGTTTTAAAACATAAGTAAGTAACTAGTCTTAAAAGATGGGATAATAGTTAAAAAAGAAATGAAAAAAAAACAGCCAGTGTTCAATACTTATTATTATTACTTTTACGTGTCTATCAAAATACAAGAAACAAAATATTAATCATCGTCACTGTTGTAATTAATTACAATCGGAACACTTTGAGTCGCAAATAACTTAGTTAGGACCTCAGCAGGACGTACGATTTTGGACAAATATCATCCATATGATATATAATAAATAATAGCTGCTACATGAGAACAGCATCCCACTGTACGTTTGCCATTGGGGCAATCACAGCAATAACGAAAAATACTATTGTAGTCATTACTTTCGGAAATATAGTGAATGTAAATTCGATAGACATTTCTATTTATATGTCTTGATTTCACTTCTGCTTTGATGATATTAGGTGCTGATTTCACATATTGTACTGAGAGATTATTTTGATCGTCCATTATTTCGGCCAAGTTAAATGCTGCACATTTAGAAGTAGAAGCTTTTTTGTTAATATATGGGATAAGTCGACACTTCTCACAAAAAATATCATTAACTATTACGATTTTATTCAAACAGTCACTAAACACTTTAGCTTCTTCTTCATTCTTTATAATTTTTTTATAACCAGGAATCTTACACAGGTACTTGTTACAATTTTTACACTTTTTCGACATTATTACTTAATAATGATTTGGTTCGATAGTTAATAATTTCAAAATGCTGATACAAAATACCTATGACAGAATATGAGTCCCAAACTGCCTTCTTGTGTAATACAAATGACTGCTACTTTAGCTAAACAAACGATGCAGTAAACAGCTTGATAACAAGTTCGAACTTGTTTGTTTATACACTCACACTACAAGGCGCGAATCACATATAATTTTTTTTCGTAGTGTTGCACCAACTTTTTTTTCACGCAATTTTTATGGGTGATAGAGCACACAAAGGAGCATAACATATATTAATTTCGTGATTGTAAGTCACAGAGAACTCAGAAAAAAAACATGTTTTATTTTATTTTTTTAATATAATTTTTTATTCTAAAAATTATAAAAAAATATATGTGATATACTCTGTAATGTAACCTAACACCTCGCGTTAGTTTCACTTCTTTATCTTAATTAGCTTCAGAGATATATCACATTCAGTAATAGTCAAGCATACGGATATTTTGCTCTCTATCTCAAGGTCAAAGCGGAAGTCGGTCGCGAAAAGTACATAAATCGTGTTTGAACATCAAGTCTATATTAAAACATAAGTTTCAATATCGATTCCCATTTGGGGGCCGACTCGTCATACGTATCCGGCTAAACCCTTTGTATAGGGATTTAAAACGTTACCATAGTAACCATTGTAAACTATTCAATTTGTCATTGTATTTATATCCGTGTATGTCCTAATAAACAGTTCCTTACGAAGCCGCTGACGGAAAACTAGTAAACACTAAACACTCAATTGAAATCAGTTTTTTACAACAGTGACTCAAAAAAATACTATTACACTTACTAATAAGTAATTTATAACGCATTTTTTAGTTACACGTATTTTTGTACGCGTCATCCCAATATTTTAATTCGAGTGAAAAATAAAAATATTTTGTTAAAGCGAGTTCCTTATATCCATCACAAAAATTATGGACCCAAAAGGGATCCAAACGCAAAACTACCGATCGAAGCGAGCGAAGATCACCGTCTTACGTAATTATTGGACGATATATAAACTTTAATTATTTGGTTGGTTGTTACAGCCCCAGTTGTTATTCTGTGACGACTGCGACCGTGGTTATCATCTATATTGCCTTGCGCCGCCGCTAGATGAACCGCCCGAAGGCTCCTGGGCCTGCGCCCTCTGTCTAGAGGAGTTCCATCGCAAGTGAACAGGTATACTCTATTCCAACATCCAATGTATTACTATATGATATTTGAGCACATTAAACGATACGTATTATTTATTAATTACCTTTGCTAAATTTACAATATAATATTATCTTGTTATAGATTTGTGAACGAATGCACGGTAAGACGCAGGCGTGATGTCCACGTCTATACACGTATGTACCACGGCGTACTGTCGGTGTTACTTGTCATTCAATTAAGGTTGATCGTACACTGGTTTAATGTAATTCGTTGCCATAGATAAAAATAAATCTGAGGCTAAGTACGGACTGACTTTCACGACTACTGTTAATGAGCACACAAATAATAAGCTGTGATCTATGCTTACGTTTTACTCTATGACACGTATCGATAGACAATCGTAAAATATTATTGCTTTAAAAAGTTTCGATGTGAGATTTTTTTTTCTTTTATTGTTATTTCAAAGATTTTTAAAATACACTGTAAAATCAGGGAACAAATAAATACTATGTGACATGTTTTTTTAATACTTACCAAAAAAATGTCATTTGAATTGATTTTGAAAAACATATTTTTTTATTAGTTTTATTACGCCTTCTGAGTACGAGCATCAATAGAATATCAAAATATTGATGAGTGATTGTTTTAAGCTTTAATTGTGTGTCATTTTAATTCATATGTTCAGTTTTAATATGTAAAAAATATGGATTATCTAACGGTTTGTTTATTTTTTCTCTTTATAAAAGCCAGTCTGTGCTAAGTCTCGATAGTTTTCTATGTAAAAAGTCTGTGAATGCTGCGATATTGTTGTAAGATGTATAAAAATGTTCATATATCAACTTGAATAGGTTAGTGAAAAATCGTTTTTATGGCAAAAAAATATTGCTTTTATATGTGGGTGGGTGTGGTGGGTGGAAATGAAGGTTCTTTTTAATAAAAGTTCACACTTGCATAAAATTAGTTAATATTTTATAAATACGTATAAAGATTTATGCCAAAAATATGTTTTTGCGTAAGGCCCAGCCACAAGTAATAACGAAGAGGATAATTTGTAAAGTTAGGTTTATGTATTTGTGTACGAAGTAATTCGAATTGAAGAAACGTAAAAATAACAAACTGAACAATTTGATATCTATTTTTTTAAATTCTTTCAATAAAAAACGTCTATAGATAAATAAAAGATAACAGACTAATTTCAACAATTCAATTGATCTACTTACCAAATCAAGTCTTAATGTTATTTCGCAAGTCCATTATAATTTATGAAACGATGCAAAAAAAATCACGTTTCTTGTAGGGGACCTCATCTTAAATATTTTATTCTGTTTTTAGTATTTGAAATAAACGTGAAAATAAATTTTAACAGTTTAGATATAAGGGTTGACGAGATACAGCCTAGTGGCAGATAAAGGAATAAAGGAACCCTAAAAATGACGCTTACGCTCCCTACATAAGTATAAGAAAGAAATATTCTTCGTTTGCCCAGGCCAGACCTACTAAATTCTTTGATGAGCGATCGTATGATTAAATATTATAATCAGTCCTGTTTTAATAATCATAAGGTGTAAATCACAGCGCACTAGGTGTCTTGTCACTAGGTGCGCTTTATAATTTAGCATGCCATATTACAGTTAGCTTAACTTATATAGCGCATGGTGAATCTATCAAATATTTCAATAGAGCAGATAGACCAATCCGAAGATACGACAAAAACTAATATAATGAGTCTTATTTCAAAAACCATAAGGTATAAAATAAAATGCAATAGGTGTACGTCTTAGCAGGTGTCAGGCGCGTGGACATTGGTTGCAGAGATGGGCAAAATGTAATCATGATTAACGATCACATTTTGTAAAGTTTGCCCTGCATAGAAGACTACAATATAGTAATCATAATTTTTATAAAGGAGTTTGTTTTATTATGGAGATTCGTACCAACTTGCATCAACACAAATTTACTCTCAACGGGTCAAAGTTTTATTTAACTTTTCACTAACATCAAGATTTGACCGTACTTTTGAGATAGTCGAAAAAATAACAGGCACCATAAACGCCGGTGATTTTCAAGGATAGTAACTATCTCAACAGAGAATCACTTCATATTAACTATCTCTAATATGCCACAATAAAAAAGTCACTATCTTAATACCGTAATAGTTTAAACATAAGAGTGACACTTGAGAGTTCCATATTTCGGTGTCCGTTATGCTGTTTTGAGTTTCTAATAAAATATGCAATGTATTTTTTTGTCAATTAGATAATGGATAAAAAAAAATAGTGGATGGCCAGAAGGCGTGACACTATAGATGATTTCCCCTTCTGCGTATAGTTGTGCGATGTTAGTGATACGATTGGGTACCGTGTTGACCTAGAAGTTTGACGCCGTTTGCAATTATGTTATTATTTAAAGGCGACCGGGGAGAAGGAGTTTCCATATTTAATGAATTCGATATAATTGTGTTTCTTTTTATCATGTGAATGAAATGTTTTTACTTTAGCAACAATATGGCAGTTTAAACAGGTTGTTTTCATATTTGTATACTGCAGGCGTGTTAATAGCATTCTTCTCTACCTCTACCGGTGCTTGCTTAGATTCTTCTCTATGAAAGCGGTGTGACGATTTAATATAGAATAATTTTAAATAATATAAATTTGATGAACTGATTGTTTTTGATATGACGCGATTCAGTGAATGTCAAAATGACATTTCGGGAATCAGACATATTGATATTTGGACATTCTGATCTGAAACAAAGTGCTTAAGATTTAAGAACCTTAATTTAGCTGGGTAAAATCTTACTTAAGTTTAACTGATCAATTTTTAGTTTATATTTTACGATGGAAGCAATTCAACACCTATATTTAGCCGTAACATATCTAATGCCTTTCAGATCAGAATGTCTATTTCCCAAAATGCCAAACGATTAGAAAATGCCCCATTTTTGAAATATCCAGTTCTCTATGTGACCAATCCCCGAAATATTCAATTCCCAAAATGTTAAATCATTATGGGTTTGTTGAATACACATTTAATAATATTTAGCTAGGTTGTGAGGCAGGCTATGAGGACCTAGCTTATTCAACAAATCTATGATACTCGATTTTACATTTTGGGTACTAGATATTTTGAAAATTGGAGATTCTGAACTGGAAGGCAAACAAACAAAAAATAGTCTAAACCAACTATAAATAAGCGATAAACATATGCAAGTGATTATATTGGCCTAAAGTGATTTAAGTGATATTAACTTATCGTAAATGCATTCTTTTTATAATGAAACTATTATATGAGAGTTTCTTTGTGGCAAACAAAGAATTTAGAGGAATTTATTAGAAATGATTCCGGTGCTTCTTATTTTGCGTAATACGCTATGGTCTTGCCTTTGTCTTTTTTTTACAGGCAAAGTACGAGATATGAGATAGTAATGTATTTTCTAGCGCTAGGCGCAATCGTACTGCATTTTTCACTCCTGCAATTGACAGACTATTATAATTGGTAACAAAACCTATGAGCTTTTATACTGTTACTCAATTAATTAGTAAGAGAGACTTTACTGCGTTACATGTCCACTGAACAGCAGCCCTACTCTAGAATGATAGCTCTACGAACAAAACACTCTTTCTGTTGTGAAAGATAATTTATATTCTTTTTTGGTCTTGAATCATTGAATCGTCGCACCGCAATACAATAATTATATGGAACCGGCAGTCCTATTAATACGCGTAATTTAAGTTTGCCATTTAGCAGCTTACTTGTATTCCCGGTCTTGATACATTAAAAAATTCTTAGTTTTTCTACTGTTAATAATATTTAAAAAAAAATGCAATTTTATTTAAGTGGAACAGTTTTGTTATCTGCAAAAATGAAAATCCAGTAATAGTAAAAAATTTTCTTCCACATAATTTTTAAACCTTAAGATGTTTGACATTAAATTCAAAATTTGATGTGAACATTTAACGTTTACTATGTTGTCAAATACTAATGTAAAAGACATGAAAACAAGTTGTATGCAGCCACCATCAGAACTAAAAACCTAAATTACACGTATTAATACCCTTTCAGTAATTTACTGTGAATCACTCGCGAAAAAGTAGGAGATTATTTTACTTAAAACCCCTCCTTCTTTTCGAGTGGTTAATATTACTAATATACATAAGCATAAGCGCTAAGCTCACTCCATAATATGTCCAATCATTTATCATTATTATCTTATGAGTTCTATATTAACATATAAATTTTAAATCAATCACAAAATATTCTTAGCAAAGGATCGGTTCATTAATCTTCAATTCACTAAGCTTGATTCACTGCATTTAATATTTCCATATTAGGCTAGTATATGAAGTTTCATTCGACGTAAGTACACTAGTAATAGTTTAGTGGTTCTACCAATATATCAATGTGAAACATTGTTAAAATTAAATTACTTTGTAAATCTTGATAAATTAAGATCATTTTTATTTTTATACTAATCCGGAAATTATAATGCTCACTGTATTGAAGCTGCATTCCATTGATGAATTTGATAATTGAAATTTCAGATTTTTTTGTCAATCAGTCTAAATAAATAACCATTTTTTTTATCTCTTACGCACAAAATATGCAGCCGTTGAGATTACTTGTATTATATTGAATTTTTAGATTAGCAATACACACATTTGTATGTCGTTTAATTTGTAGATTTTGTATATTTTTTTTTTACTAAGTTGTTTTCGTAACTAGTTGTCAATGAAGAAGTATCATTCTAGATAATTAACCCGTTGTCTTAGGGTTGTTTGAATCAAACATATTATATAGATAAATATTGAAGTCACGTCTTGACAAATAGTCGCTCTTATTTCTTAGAGAATAAGGGACAAAAAATTTCAATATTGTAGACATATTTTTAACCATGGTACTAAAATAATGTTATTTGCCAACATCGAATTTACTTTTTTAAGCATGGCAAATTATCTTTGAATGTGTAGAATTGTTAAAAAGTTAGCCCCAGTTGTGTTGTTTTTTTTTCATAATGGGCTGTAGTATATGAGTTATTAACAAAAGAGTATATTTGCCTGAAGTCGTTTTCAGGAATGCGTTCGCTGTTTGGATGAAAATTGAAGATGGATAAATTCATGCCATACAAAAATGACAGAATGCGTAGTGTAACAAGAAATGTTACTTTTTTATTGACAACTGTCGGTAAAACCTCATAGTATGTTCATTTTCTAAGAAATAATCAAACAAAGAATACTTGTGACGTTCATTTTGTGTAATATACATCCAGTTGCACAAATGTCCATTTAAGTTATTATTAATTTAAAGCGACATTACCCATACAAATTTGACATACATTAGACCTTAAAGGCATCATCAAACCTTAATGGACGTTTGTGCAACTGACCGATAATCTATTATATTATTAGATATTATTTGCAAGAAATGTAAATTGTTTTAAAAATATCTACTATTTCTAATAATGCAACACCGGTTTATCTGCACATGATTTTGTATATACGAATTCCTTTAAAACCCTTCACTAATATAAACTTTTGTCCACTGTAAAATAATAGGCAATTATTCATTTTTTTAAATATTATAAAGATTGTTGGGTTTATTTTATTTTTTATAATTTTAAGAGAATGTTGCGTTATCAGAAATTGTGATATATTTAAATATCTAAAGATTATTCTTATAATATCGAACGTCGGTGTAAGTCATACGTAACATTGTAGTAAGTGGAGCTGTGATCGGTCTAGCAGGTTGTGATGGTAAAACACAGTTTTTTATATTATTTTTTTTAGCTATTATTAGTGATTTGTACAGACACGTGCGACTCGTCTTCACAATTATTTTAAATAATATTTTAAGTACATTAAATGGAAAGAAAGATTTCCAATACAAAAAAAATACCTTTGTAATTCTATGGTAAACTATTACTTTGCTAATTATTAAGAAGACGAGTCATTAGCGATTTATTTTTTAAGTTTTTCAACAGTTAGTGATAAGATATCCGAATTGTGCTGTAATTATATCGAACAATTTTTTCGTGTCGATTTATGAAGAATTTTATATTGCTTGTACACATTTCAAAATACAGTTTCTGAAGACAGGCACATCATTATGTTATATTCGATACTTCTACGTATATTAGGAAACCCTAAAGGGTATTTTCACTACTGGTTTGAAGAAAAAATGATACGATATATTTAATGCTTTACATATAAACTTTATCTTAATAATGCTTGAAAAAAAAGCTTCCCAGGTCCCAGCAACCTCGATAGGTATTCGGTAGCTCAGTTGGAAGGGCATTCGCCTGGAAAGCGAGATGTTGTCGCTTCGAGTCTGGCCTAATGGTGACCTGAGACGATTACTCTTTTCAAGTATTTTTAAAACACCACAAGAAAGCATTGTAAATGCAAAATTCACAACCATAATAAATTATCAGTCTTTGAAAATGATATAGAAATGTATTAGTTGTTTTAATTTAAAATGTTTAATTATAATTTGAATGTTCAATATTTTTTTTAAATTACGGAATATTTTTGATTTGCTGTAATTAAACGATGTGGTTGGCACATAATATTTCATATAGACAATCTTGCCTGTTCTTTCCTATACGTATATGTCGAGTCACTAGTGATGAACATTGACGTCGAATACGCAAAGTAAAATTATAGGTCCGTTTGATCAGAAGTCAACGGGCCGCGTTGATTGGTACAATGTAATGTATCTGATTTGCTATGTGTGTGGCTCTACAGTGTAATTGAAGCCTAGAATACCAGGCCGACAGAATAACTGACAACAGACCAATCAGGGTTGTCCGACAAATCTTAGATCAATTTTGATTGATCTGTCCATAGTTCTGTTAACTTGACATATTAATCAGGTTTTTAGTTACGCTGTACGGCCGCTGGACCAATGATCATCACTCTTGCTTGGAGACCTTTATCTGATAGACACTCAGACGATACAGCAGTAATGACGTTCCGAATTCGTAACCAGTTGTATTGTAATAAATGTTTTAAATGGATATTTTTTCTTTTTCAATACATAAATCTTATGTTTATTATTGGTCTCAAGGCAATATGCGGTATCGCCCGAATCATCTTAATGAATTTGTTAATTACATTGTAAATTAAGGTATCCATCCTGTATAGTGTCATACTAATTGTGGTGACGTAACAAATAAATTGGAAATTTGATGATTTTTTTTATTTATTTTTTTTCTCCAATTATATAGGTAGTATTTTGACGCCGGTCTTGAAGAGCGATAACATCCTGATACAGGTATTTTTAAATACTTACTAGGAATGTTATCACAAACAAATGTTTCACACTGATTTGATATGTGAATAAACATTTTTGTTTTTTTTTTTTTTTGAGTATTTTGACGCCATTTCGTAGTGGACAGGTCTTTCTGCAGACCTTAAATTAAAATAGAGTTCAAAATCAGTTGAGAAAATAAGACATATTGCAGTTGACGAGCAGCTGTGTCTTTAATTGCATCAGCTTTAGTTTGCTGAAACGCACTACGAGTATATATGTATAGAAAAATACTCTAAATAATTTGTCGGTGAAAGTTCATTAGGACGCCCTTTGGCGGTTAAATGGGTTTTTAAGAAAAAAGCACATCACTTATTAACTATTATTTATTTATTAATTCACTACTTTGTATGATATGAAACCAAAAACGTTTGGCATTAAACATCGGAACTTGTCTACATTCTAAAATTGCACATTCTAAGTGACTAACGTAACATTTTATATTAATAATAAGTAAACTTTAAATTATTGTA